CCGCAACAGTTTCACAGGAACGCACCCGCTTGTGGCTGCACCTGTGCTCGACCACTTCACCTCACTCTAGGCTGATTTATAATTCTGCGTCGGACCTACGCCGGAGCCTCTACGCTATAGACTACGCGATGGTTTTCATTTATATCTGCGTCGTTGTCCGCGTTGACGCGCAATTACACATGCAGAGGGAGAGTGTGAAACCCGGGGAGCGGTTCTAGCAATCACAGCGCTTGCGGTACGCGTAGAATTGACGTTACATTTTTGGAGAGATGCACGTCAGGGTACGCGCGCTACACAGCTACGGCGTGAGTTCGACGCAGAAGTATAAATTGGGCTTTACCTCTGTTACTGTAATCTTACGTGGGAAACCATGGCATGCCATGACCAAACCTAAGCTGCTATCAGAGAAGTAACGTTGGTCGACTTATAGTAGTGATCATGACCCTTTGACTGCATAGACTGTTTCTGCTGCTCCCTGATACAAGATACCTGTTCAGAAAAAAAGAAAAAGAAAAGAAAACTGGACTCGTTTTAACAAGCTAGATAAAAGGTAATGCCATGGCAGTGGCAAATAGCTTTGTTTAAATATTTGATTTGATTACATTAATGTTTAAGTTGAGATTTACAAGAAATATTTTATTGATACTGTGTAAAGGGAATACTGCTGGTATAAAAGCACCTTGTTTGTTTAAAGTTTTTGCAAACCACATGTTATTGCACTTTTGTAGCAGTACATTTAAATCAAAAGTGCGCAATACACTACTTTAGAATTCATTATTCAATTTTGCGCGTAACAATGCGATTAATCGCGATTAAATTTTTTAATCGTTGCCCAGCACTAAATTAAACTTATCAATTTGATGGCGGATCCAGAAAGGTTCAAACGACGATCACCAGTGACAACAGATTCACCCGCTGTAAAATCCAAAAGACTTCGTTCGGACTTCGGAGCGGCGACAGAGAGAAAAAGACTTTAACCGGACCCATGCGAAAACAAGGTTAATATCGGAGGACATTACATGTAGTCACGCAATGCTTGCTTACGCTGTTAACATTAACAATTTGAGAACAAAGTATAATTTGCACGGTTTTGCGTGATATGATAACTTATAGGCGATTGTTAGATTTAATCAGCGTGATTTACTGTGTCAGACCCAGAACAAAAGTGGATGTTTCTTACTAGTTCAGACATTTCCCAGTGAAAATTCTTATGTTGGTCATTCTTCCAAAAAGAATAATCTGTGATTGTGAATGCCAGTATCGACACCGGCATTCTCACACTCTCACTTAATCGACACACACACTCTCTTCAAACATTGGCCGTTTCTCAATACCAAGTACGCAAACTTCGGACTTGCCAAGTTCGACTCAGGAGAACGAACTCCCGAGGACGAGAGGACGCGAGTCCGGTTATTCTGCAAATGGAAAAGTGCGTTCTTGATCGCGTCACTCAGCTCGCTCTGGCTACTCCGGTTATCTCTTTATGTATATTTAAGGCAACAATAAAACGAAATATGCTACAAGTCACAACTCTGCCTCTTTTCGTCAACAGTAAAACGAAATCTGTTATAAAACACCACTCTGCCTCTTTTCATTAAAATAATTCTTAAACATATTAGCCTATGGCCATGTGGTTCAGGCAACGTGTACATTGATTATCTTCACTGCATATATTTATAACAACATGAACATGATCTTTTTGTTTTTATTTTAAAAATATGAAACATTATTGACATTTTTATTGACATTTAACAAACAGAGACAGGGCTGTGTCATTTTATTTGATTGTATATAGTGAAGAAAATGTTAAAATAAATATAAATATATATATATATATATAAAATAAAATTACACAACCCTGTCTCTTTTTGTTAAATGTCAGTTTTAATGATCAATAATATCTAGCCTAAAAGGTATAGAAGCTACAATGAGAAATAAAGCAAACAATTCAGTCAAACATAAGTAAGCTCTCTAAGCTACAACGTTAAAGTTAAATAGCCTAAATAAAGTTATGAAACTTCACTTTGCCCTCAGCCAAAACGATGTTTTGCCATGGAACAAACTATAGATTAATGAGACCAAAGATCGACTTATACACAAGCCGAATTATACGTCATATTTATCCACTAGACTAGAGACATCAGAGCCAGCGGCAAACGTCAGAAGCACTAGCCGAGGAAAAGCTGTTCCAGTCGGGTTTAATGAGCGTTGAACACCCGGTGAACGCCTGGATCTCACAACTCCGAAAACGTCAGATACATTTTTCAAATAGGCGCTATCTTTATAAATAAACCACAGATTTGAGCTTTAAACAACCACATTCTCGCCTGAAACACTCTTAAAATTACATTTCATGACACAATAACAGTAGTATTTTGATATTACGCGGGTTTCTCCTCTGCTATTGACGCTTGCTGGTTGGTGCGAGATGCATTCTGGGATACCTGGCTGTCTCAAGTCCACACAAGTCACCTCTCGATGCATTAGGGCTGTCAACGAATATTCTAAATTCGAATATATATTCGAATAGTTTTAAAAAACAGAAATTCGAAGGTGAAAATTAATATTCGAATCCTGTGGAAAAACACGCCCGCGGTAGCAGAGACGCGGCTGTCTGCTTTGCGAGTGGCAAAATTCTGAAGCGTAAAACGCATTTTCCAGCTGCACAGATAGGATAGCACAGTGAATGTGAAGTGAAAGTGAAAAAAAAGTGAAAGTGAAAGTGAAAGTGACACGTGATGGCCAAGTATGGTAACCCATACTTGGAATTTGACCTCTGCATTTAACCCATCCAAGTAAGTGCACACACATTAGGAGCAGAGTAGTGAGTAGTGAACACACACACACACACACTGCAAACGTGGATACACACACCCGGAGCAGCGGGCAGCCTTGAGTGGCGCCCGGGGAGCGATTGGGGGTTAGGTGCCTTGCTCAAGGACACCTCAGTCATATTCCTGCCGGTACTGGAATCGAACCAGCAACCTTTGGGTCACCAGTCCAACTCTGTTACCATTAGGCCATGACTGCCCCGAATGTCTGGCTCACTCATTGGCTGTGCTGCGGCAACTGCACATCCAATGGCGCGGGCGCCTCCAACGTGTGCGCCAATGAGCTAGCATTACATCAGACACGTTAGAGCCCGCCAAGGGGGCGTGGCCAGACGCCCTCGAGTCGAAATAGCCATTATTATAGCAGCAGTTTACCACAGCTCGCTCGCTCTGAGCGTTCAATGGTGGTTCTATATACTGTAAAACTTCAATTAATGTTAATAATATTTGTTTCAATCACCGAATGAAGTCTGCTATATTTAGGACAAGAGTCGCGACCTTAAATTGCTTGCACAAAACTCTTGATCAGCAGCACTCAACATGTGTTTATTGTTGTTCATTTAAACCGTTATGCGCAGAGAGCGTGAGGGCGAGAGAGAGAGAGAGAGAGTGCCTGCGAGTGCGAGCGAGAGTAAGGTCTGCGGTCTTGGCCATTAGTTGATTTACTTGGTTTTGTGTAAGTTAATACGTTGTCAAATATGTTTAAACTTAAATAAACTACCTATACAAGTAGTTGTGTCTCTTTGTATTAATTTGACCTGTTATTGACGTAATGCGCGTCATTGACAAAATGCGCAACCAGATATTAGAATAGTTCGAATAAATGTGTTTTTCTTAGAGGGAATATTCGAACGTCATTTTTGAGCAATTTTGACAGCCCTACGATGCATCCTCGGTAAACGGGCGGATCAAGAACACATCCGGGGATTTGAACTGGACTTGGCTAGATGTGAACTTTGAATTGGGACAGTACTTGGGCAGTGACTGATGACGTTTCACAAGTACACAAGAACACAAGTATAGACAAGAACGCATATTGAGAAACGGCCATTGTGTTCATCCGCGCTGTGCCGTGTCGAGGGTGTTGAAGTAACGCTTGCGTAAAGTGGATAATTCCACGAATGACTGCAATTGCAGATTTCGAACAGAGATGGCGACAAAGAGGAAAAACGCCGGACTGCAGCTTTAAGATATTTGTGAAATTTCTATCAAAATATTTGAGAATGGAGAATTAAACTGATGTTTCAAGAACCACAAATATTACTTAATTCAAATCAGTATTATTAATATATTTAACACACTCTTGAGAGATTGAGCAGATTTACTCAGTTAAAACAATGTTGAAGGTGTGCCTCCTCTAAAAGTGTCCGCCGTATTTTTATTTATTTTTATTTTTATTTTGCTAATTTCCATCCCTGATATCTACTGGTGGTGGTATAGAATACTATTTCACAAAGGTTTAGAGAAAATAAAAAAGTTATTACTCATAAATATTGATATTTTTTTATATTTTTCCACAATTATTTCTACTCAATTTTATTTGTTAATGTACCAGATGCAGTTACTGAGATCTACAATTTTATACTTACATTTACTCAGTTTATACAGTGTATTGTAATTTATTTTACTGCTTTAAAATTGAATCAATATTTTTGAGTGTAAAAATGTTTCACCAAAAAAATTAGTAAATGATATAAAACTTTTTAGAGTGTAGATAGTAATTGTTTAATTCCCAGCATCTGATACAATGTACTGATTGTGTACACGCAGAAATCTGCCTTTTCAACAGAGAATAAAGAAGAGAGACGTCAAATAAATAGTTAAAAATGAAAGAGAAGAAACAGTGTCTTCCAGCGCACAGAACTAGTGTGACTGGGTTTTAAAACAGACTATTGGAAACTAAATGCTGTATTATATTTCTATAAACATTTTTACCTTAGTATTTTGTGATCTGGTGAAATAAAGATGAAGATCTCTCTTCCTCTGTCTGTTTTATTTGCTGATGAAGATGATGTGACTTTACAGAATAAAGAGTCTCTTATTTTCTTCATTCTCTCTCTCTCTCTCTCTCTCTCTCTCTCTCTCTCTCTCTCTCTCTCTCTCTCTCTCTCTCTCTCTCTCTCTCTCTCTCTCTCTCTCTCTCTCTCTCTCTCTCTCTCTCTCTCTCTCTCTCTCTCTCTCTCTCTGCTAATGTAGGTTAAGCTGGTGTTATATGACAGATGAAGGTTGTTCTGATGTGACTTCAGCTCTGAAATCAAACCCGTCACACCTGAGAGAGCTGGACCTGAGCAGGAATAAACTAGGAGACTCTGGAGTGAAAAACCTCAGTGATCTACTGAAGAAGCCAAAATTCAAGCTGGAGAAACTACAGTTAGTGTCATTATACTGTACAGCAATTACAGTGTGACTGAAGTTTTTTTATTTGAAGACAGTAGGGCTTATGTTTCATTGGTTATAGCAGTGCACTTTCTGGGTTTTTAAACTAAAACACTTTATTCTCAATATCTGACAGTGAGTCTGAGTTCACATTATATTTGTGTAAAATTCTTCACATTCATGATTTGTTTGTAAGATAATCTGTTTTCCTCTGTTTGTGTCTCTCTAGTCTATATCACTGTGGCATTACAGATGTTTCTTCTTTAACTCAGTCTTTGACTAACTCAAAAGCACTGCAGTTTTTAAAAGAGCTTGATCTGAGAGACAATGAGATAGGAGACTCACAGCAGCGGCTCAGAGACGAGCTACGAGACTCAAACTGTGTCCTGAGGTGAGGAAACATCACTGAGATATTAAAGAGATCTTCATTTACCTCTGATATGTGAACAAACCTTTCAAACATTCCTGAAAGGAAATTATCATAAAGCTTTATTGCAACAAAGGGTTTGTGTGAGAACATAATGTGAAGTAGCTGAAATGTTGAACACAAAGGAGGAAAGAGAAGAAAAGCTCACTGTCACAGCTTTATACATCAACACCTGCTTTATGAACTGTGTCAGTAGAAGTGAATCATTTCAGTGTGAAAACAGACTTGGTCAGATTGTAGGAAACGCTGCACTCCTGCTAAAATCAGTGCAGTTCCAGCTTCAGCTCACAGCGTCCAGCTCACATGAGCAATGTCTCTGTCTCTAGTGTGTTTTACTGTGACAAGCAACACGTCACACTACTCTACACTTACTTTACTCTCAGTTATTTACTAAGAGCCTACAAACATGTTTAAACTAGAGGACAAACGGCTTTAACTAAAGGTTTGTGTTTAACTCAAAATAACATTAGTATTTGCTCCCTGTGGTTTATTCCATACGCCGTACACTCATTAGTTTCTCCTTTACAGAGACTCAATAGGAGTCGCACTGACACACACACACACACACACACGAACATGATTCAGGCTTTACATCTATTATATTTAAAAACACAAATATCTATGCAAGATCATGTAAAGTCGGTTATTAATCTGATTACAGGAATTTAATGTAACTTATTTTTACACAAAAACAGTCATTTAAATATTATAATTTGCACTTTGTTCCACCGAAAGCTGATTGTTTTCTCTTCTGTTCCACTTTACAGAGTAGATTACAGTATGAATGTAGATGAAGATCGATCATCAAACGTCAGTGGATTTACATCATAGTTTAAATCTGTGAAACGGAGATGAGAGGAGCAGAAACCATCAGGTGATCCACAGAAGAGTCTCACTGCTGTCTATGAGGAGAAATACATGTGTAAATGTGTTTCATACAGGTGGAAGAGACTCAGACTTCACTATTAAATAAAGCATGCGTATTAGAAACATGTGATATTGAATGATTAATGTTGGTTTATTATTCAGCCAAATGATGGTTTAGTTGTAATTAAAGGTGGAACAGAGGAAGAAGCTCAGATGAGTGTCAGCAGAAATCTTCACTATCAGGCCTGCAAATATAATAATGTTTAGACTAAACTCATCCATAATGATATATCTAATCATGAACGTGATTGTCAAGTATAGCACATAAATGTTTCAAAAGATATAAAGTTTACATGTAACTTTTAAACATTTACATTATCTCTGTAACATTTTATACACAGAATATGTTTATTGTTATAGTTTTATTGTGTGTGTGTGTGTGTGTGTGTGTGTGTGTGTGTGTGTGTGTGTGTGTGTGTGTGTGTGTGTGTGTGTGTGTGTGTGTGTGTGTGTGTGTGTGTGTGTGTGTGTGTGTGTGTGTGTTGCTGATGCACAGATGTACAGTATATTGTCTTTGTTCTGTGGATGAAGTCTCTTCTCCTCTACAGACCGACTAAACATTTTCCCCAGTGAACAGCATTTGTGTCTTTCACTCAGAGATGGGCATAAATAAAATACAAAATACTGTGTGGAAAAATGTATTTAAATACAAATACAGTATTTTGTATTTTGAAAATACACAAAATACATGTGAAATAGGCCATCCAGTGCAGGTATACTGTGTCACAGTGAATGAAGAAACTACATAGGCCTATTGCTGGCCATTACAAATAAACTTGTGCAAATAGCAGCCATTTATATACTTATTTCTGACCAGGTTACAATGTAGTCGATTACTTGTGGTGAACACTATTAAAAAATTCATACTGTATGTGAAACTGTGGGAACCTTTTCTGCTATCTAGCAAAGAATATGACCCAAAATCTTAATTTTACTTCCCAGTAACCACATATATCATAGTTTCACAATTCTCAATATCAGTTTTGATACAACAGCAAAAACTGAATTTCAAACTCTGTTGAGGCTTTTTTTGTTGCGGGTAGTCCAATGCTAGCAATACCCTCATGTCACGATTCGATACATATCACGATACTGAACTCAAGATACGATATTATTGCTATACTCCAAGACATATGATAAAAGGTTAGCACAAAATATACTGTTGATTAAAATGCTAAATTTGATATTACATTGTGTGTGTAAATGAACAGGCTTGGACTCAGTGCTGAAACCCAAAGCACAGGACAATAGAGACACCAGAATAACAATATTTATGATTCTGAAGCTGAAAATACAGAATTATTTAAGATGAATATGCTTGATCTCTTTTACTGACTAGATATATTTAAAATAATGTAGGCCACATACTGTACTGTTAACATCAGAAATTTGGCATTATCAGGACCCACAAATATTCCCCCATTGCATTATTATTATATTCAAAATTATACAGTAGTTTAATGTAGTACTGACACTAAAACTCTGAAAACGTGAATTTTTTCTCACACAGTATTTTTTATTTTTGGTGAATTATCCACGACGATACATATTGTTGCATTTTTGTATTGCGATATATTGTGACACGATATTGTTACACCCCTATTTTTAAGTATAGTAATTTTATATTTATTTTATGTAAAGTTTATTTGTTTCTATAAGTTCATTAAAATTATAAAGTTTATCTAAAATATTAAATTAGAAATCATTTGACACTATTTACCCAAAGTTTTTTGTGGATTTTTCAGTGGACTGAAGATTGTTGTGGTGTATCATTCATCAGTGCTTCTTTTCCCACTCCAACATTCAACTGAACTAGTGTTTCACTCGCTCCTCAGAGAGCAGACGGATGTGGGCCACTTCAGGCGATGATGCGGCACTGCAGGCCTTCTTATGGCCCCGACAAAATGTGTGTGAGCCTGAAGTGGCCCACGTGTAAAATGGCAAATATGGCCCCAGGGCCGGCCCTCCCTATACGCGAACTAAGCGGCTGCTTAGGGCCCCGCCGCCACCAGGGGCTCCAAACTATGGTCCGACCATAGACCCTGATCATAGACCCCATAGACCTGTAACTCGACGTACATTCGCATCACATGTTAACGCAACGGTAGAGTTACTCACGGGACACTGCACACTCATCCATAATTATAAAAATATTTCTAATCATGAACAAGTATATCAAGTATAGTACATAAATGTTTCAAAATATATAAAGTTTACATGTAACTTTTAAACATTTACATTATCTCTAACATTTTATACACAGAATATGTTTATTGTTATTGTTTTATTGTATATGAAGTTTGTGTGTGTGTGTGTGTGTGTGTGTGTGTCTGTGTGTCTGTGTCTGTGTCTGTGTCTGTGTCTGTGTCTGTGTGTGTGTGTGTGTGTGTGTGTGGCTGATGCACAGATGTACAGTATATTGTCTCTGTTCTGTGGATGACGTCTCTTCTCCTCTACAGACCGACTAAACATTTTCCCCAGTGAACAGCATTTGTGTGTGTTTCACTCGCTCCTCAGAGAGCAGACGGATGTGGGCCACTCAGTGGCGGTTCTACATTGAATTACACCCAGGGCGAGACCCCCTTCGATAAAGTTTTGACAAAAAAGGCTTTATAAAAAGATAAACCCGGTTCCCGGTTCGCCCGTGCCTAAAACCGCTACTGGGGCCACTTCAGGCGATGATGCGGCACTGCAGGCCTTCTTATGGCCCCGACAAAATATATGTGAGCCTGAAGTGGCCCACATGTAAAATGGCAAATATGGCCCAAATATTTTAAACCACATGTGGGCCTTTTTAGGCAAAGATGCGACACTCATGGCAATGTGTAATCTGAATGTGGGCCTAAAGTGGCCCATATGATAAATAATGAATATGGCCCCAATATCAAAAACCAAATGTGGGCCACCTATGGCAAAAATGTGGCACAATCGACAATGACTAATCTGGGTGTAAACCAAATATGGCCCACATATGTTGCAGCAAATGTGACCCAGTTATCTTACAACAAATCAGGGCCAGTTTTGGCAAAGATGAGGGACAGTAATCACTGTGAATCTGAATGTGAACCTAAAGTGACCCACACATGACATAGCAAATATGGCCCGATTACATTGCTGTGGCGAGCAATTAGCACTTACTAATCTAAATAAATAAAAATGTATACAAAGATGTGATGATGTCCGACTCGTTTTATGAAGAAGAAAGCCTTAAGTTTTTAAAAGCATTAGACATATATGACCCACTATTCTGCTTCAAGTAGCCTACCATGTTGACAATATGACATGACGTGGTTTAATGTACCTAAACAATGATTACCAAATTTCTCTCTCATGCTCCTCATAACCACTGAAAACAGTCAAAAAATCTAACCCAAAGTCCAGTTATTATGGAGGTTATCTGACATTAAGCGTTTCTGCTTCACATTTTCAGCAGGGCAGCGGAGCGGCTGTCGACTCCCCACGGTTCTCATGGGCTTTATATATAAGTCCTAACGTGAAAAAGCTTTACGTGGTTTACCTAAACAACGATCACCAAACGATTACAGTTGTTGCAGTGTTATGAACAGAGAAGTGTGTAGCAGCGCAGCAGCAGAACGGCTAAATTGAGCTCGAGGTTTTAAAAACAAAACAGTGGTGGGTA